AGAGCGACTATCAGGGCAATTTACCGCGATGTGGCCACGGTAACCACAATTATAGCAAGTTCTTTGGCTATGGGTACTGTACATGCTACGAGTGCTACGGGAATGACAACTCTTAACACTAGCTTTGGACGATGGTCGCGAGTGATATAGATTGGGGGTTTTGGTTGTAGCACAAACAAGAAGAGGTACAAGAGTAGACAAAGTGGTTGACGTAGACTTTCGATAAGAGAAGGTTCCCTCGGGACACAAATTACGCACATGGATAAGAGCTGCAAGTGGTCCCATTGTGGCATTTAGAGGACTAGAATTATACACATATATTGATGTTGGTGGCATTAGCTGTTTAATAACTCCGAATGCTGCTAATTTAGCAAACCCCTCAAGATCTGGTTTATCATTGTCTTTAAGGTACTTGGAACTTTGACCTGCTTTAACGAATGAGGACATTAGGTTATTTAGACGATGAGCAAACTCATCTAATGATTCCTCTGGCCTCGGAGCTGTACACACTAATTCCTTAAGAACGACAAAAGGATCGGTTTCTCATACTGGTTCAAGATAGTTACGGATTAACTGCTCATAATCTTGCCACATGGTTAGATCCTGAAAGTCCTTCATACGAATCAAGTTGAACACATGCCAGGCAGCTGGAGAACGAGCTAAACTCTCCTTTCCAATACTAATTAAGCAACTCTCTGATGGAGGACCATCTACTGAGGCATTAGCTCTAGCACGAACAGCAGTAAACCATCCTTCTAGGTTGTCTGGGTTACCATTGAACAATGGCATAGCATCATGAGGATCACGACTAAAATTGTGCAGGCTAGAAGTCTGAGTGTGTCTATTGTTTGATAAGGAATTACTCGAATTTGGGACTGATGCATTAATGGTTGTACTAGCAGAATGTGCTGAGGCATCGCTCGAGAAGACTTGAGACCTGTATGTAAAATGTAAAACAAGAATTTAGAGAAATAAAAGAAAATGTAACTGAGGAACACACAACACAGTAAACTTAAATGGGAAGAAATTACTTAACTATTCTGCATAAGTAAATAAAAATTGATAAGTCACACTGTAAGCAAGGAAACTCACACTCACAAAAGAAAATACTCAACTGAATAAGCAACACTTTGAAAATCAAGAGAAATTGTACTTTACTCAAATCTAATATGCGCAACTTTACTTTAACCCTTAAACGGTCCAAACAAATCGACGTTCAAATCCGTAGTGCTCCAAAAGTAGATCTACGTTTTTTTTTACATATTTTCAAAAATAACAACAAAAAAATGTAGATAAAAGTTTTTTTTGCACATTTTTAAATGTAAAACAAGAAAGAATGATCTACATTTTTTTACATACTTTCAAATGTTGAAAAAACGTATATATACGTTTGGACCATTTAAGGGTTAAAATGAGTTAATGGCACAGTGAGTTGTCTTTACTCTCAATGCAATAGGGAAATTCAACAATAAATGATGAATCAATCAAAAATGTTAAAATGGACTCAATAAAGCTTGTGCAAAATTAAAACAAACTGGGAAACAATTCACTAAAAATAAAATAAAATGGGACACAAAGAGTAAAATAGTATGCACAGAAAAGAGCATATGAAACTGCACTGAAATAAACTGTAGCAATATTGCAAATAACAATTACTAATCAAAAGTACTGCACAACACTACTTAAAATTTCTGCAAGAAAAATTTTAAATGGCAACACAATGTTTACACAAGAATTATTGCAAAATGAGTCAATGATGCAATGCTAAAAAAAAATTTACACACACAAGAAAATACAGTTTACAAGAAAAGAAAATATATCATCAAGGAATGAACTGAGTGAACACTTTAACTCTTAATTGCAGCTTAAGCAACACTTACTGAACAAACAAAGAATGATTTACTTTAAAAGAAGAACTTAAAAATTGCACTAAGAGTGAATTTGTTCAATGAAAAAAAAAATAGATGCAAAAACACAGAACAAAAGGTTTGAACACTGACAGTGAGGCAGAACACAACACATCAGTATAAACACAATACTAGAATTTTCTTGCTATGAAACTCAATGTGTGAAAAATTTGGAAAATAATTGTCTTGCTTGAACACAATAATGGCACTATTGTCTGTGGAGATAAGACAAATTAGACACTGGTTAAATGAAAAGAATTAACACAAGAATGTTCAACACACGGAAAAATAAAATAAAATGGCAAATGAATGAAAACAAAAACAACAAGAATATACAAATGCTGGGAGAAAAAAATATAACAGACAACACTGAGTTGTGATGCAGAATATAAGATAGTAATTTACTGAATTACTTCACTGCAATACTGTGAACACGAGGTGATTGTGAAGTGTAACACAAATTCTATACTGCTTGTATGTTGCACACAACAAGGAAAAACACTAAGGTACTTACTTCAAGTATATAAAAAAAAAGAACACAACACAACAGACATAAAATAATGCACGAAAATTAACACTGAATTAAGAAGAGAAAAAAAATATTGCAAACAGTATATAATAAACACTGAGTCTAATCGAGTCACTGAATGTCACTAAGAAATCACTGGAAACACAAAAAAGAAATGTCTCAACACTCGCAAATGTCTCTATGAACAATATTATCACTGTAGCGACGTTGGTGAAGAATTAGGTAGATGGTAGAGGAGACTGGTGGTTGGCTGCGTTTGCTGCTACTCCACACGTGATTGAGGAATTTGCGCTTAAATTGACAATGGACCCACACAGGAGGCTTTTAACGATCATTCAGACATCCCACTTTGACAGTTTTCTTCTTCTTGTTCTTTTTAGTAGTTATTACAGGAAAAGGGGTTACTAGCCCATCGTTCCCGGCATTTTAGTTGACTTTTACAACATGCATGGCTTATGGATGAAAGATTCTTATTCCACTTCCCCATGGATATAAAAGGAAAAGTAATTAGAACAAGAACTATTAAGATAAAATCAAAGAAAGCTCAGACGAGTGTGTAGAAATAAATGTGTACATGCATGTGTAGTGTGACCTAAGTGTAAGTAGAAGTAGCAAGACGTACCTGTAATCTTGTATATTTATGAGACAGACAAAAGACACCGTCAATCCTTCCATGTAAAACAATTACAGGCTTTTGTTTTACACTCACTTGGCAGGACAGTAGTACCTCCCTGGGTGGTTGCTGTCTACCAACCTACTACCTATGCATTTTATTACCTTAAATTATTATAAGCCATATTATTACAGTTGGAGTGTGAGCAAGGTAACATTTATGAAGGGATTCAGGGAAACTAGTAAGCTAGACATAAGTCCTGAATGTGGGAAGTACAGTGCCTGCACTTTTTTAGCCCTTTCAGTGCCGAGACCCCTGCTCTCAAACTTGCTCTTAGGGTCAAAGAATTTAAAAACAAAAAAATTATGAAATAGAAGGTAATGAAATCAAAAGTATGAAATTTGTTGGAAAACTTACGGAATTATGCTCTCGCAAAGTTATACATTGACAATGTTGCCCACTTTGTGCCATATTTTTGGCCACTTCTATTATTCCAGTCCACCAAACTCGTAACTATTTCACTAGTATTCCTTCTATTCTTTTGATTGAGTATAAGAAATTGCCCATTTACCAATTTCAATTCCAGTGTAGTGATCAGAAATCAGTAATTTGGGCAATTTCTTACAAAATTCAACACTTACCAATTTGAAAATAGGGCCCAGAATAAATAATGTAGACATTCATGTCACTAAATAAACATTTCCTCTGTTGCTTGGTCACATTTCCAGGCTCCTCTTATATTACACTTGCTTTTCATTTTGAATTTTTATTCACACAAAAAATAGAAGATTTACTGTTATGCAGACTACTGCATTATTATAATTGTATAAATAATGTCAGTGCATTCCTAAATGCGTATTAGACTGGCCAGTTGGATGCACATTGAAATATTGGCAAAAATCGAATATTTCCGCTAATTTGAGCTCAATTTCAAACTACAGTGGACCCCCGGTTAACGAACTTTTTTCATTCCAGTAGTATGTTCAGGTGCCAGTACTGACCGAATTTTTTCCCATAAGGAATATTGTGAAGTAGATTAGTCCATTTCAGACCCCCAAACATACACGTACAAACGCACTTACATAAATACACTTACATAATTGGTCGCATTTGGAGGTGATCGTTAAGCGGGGGTCCACTGTACTTTCAGTCCTGAAACTAATCAGAATCATCTCTATTTCTGTAACATATCTTTCATTGTATCAAACAAGACCAGGAAACTGAGAATACAACCATAAAAACCATACAAAAATACACTGCAAAGTTGCCATTTTAAACCAGAAACACAGTTGCTGTTTTTTTCTCATTATGCACTGCATGCCGCAAGATTTTTTTTATATGGTGCACACTTGTTGCATAGACCCATTCTCTCATATCTTGGCCCAAATTTACCACTTATCTGAGTGAGCTGAGTTCATGGCGTTGTATTAGAGGACCAACACTGGCTTCAAAGCTGTGATGATACAATGGGACTGACACTGAAAGGGTTAAGGATAGTAGGGATGTTGCAGTTTGGAGGGTTATTTGGATTGTAATATACACTAACCTTGGGTTGTCTTTCTTTGATGGGGAACAACCAAAGTGGTGAAAAATATTAATAGCTGTGAAATAATTACTGGTACAGTGAGTTTGAGCAGCATTTTTTAAAAATTTGTAAACTTTGTGAATGGTGCACAACTTTTCATGTCTCCTTATAGGCTTTTTACTGTATTTCGATCCATTTACTATTTGCCTGAAGTTCCTACAGTACTTAGATTCAGCTTTACATGTTGGGTAACAAAGAGAAAGTTTTTCATAGTCTCTTGTATGTATGATAGTCATATGCAACCTATTAGGTTATTCATGTATGTTCTCAAGTCTTATATACAAATTGATAAGTTATGGTTGTTTATATAATATTGTGAGTAATGGTGTTTTACACGAGACATTTGTTTCTTCTTTTCATAAACAGGAATTAAGAGTGCTAAACCAGGCGGGGATGCACATAATCCAAACCTCGTTATGGGGAGACTCAGACGTAATATTAGAACTGAAAGTCTCTTTGACCACCTGGAAGGTAAGAGGCTTCGTCCATCCCCCTTATAATCTTGCACAGACGAGGTGTTTTGGTAAGTTGCACTTATTGTTTGAGGCTTATCTTAGACAATGCTATTAAAATCTATTTGCTGAGTAGTGTGTTGTATTATGAATTGTATAAGAATATTTTATAAAAAGAAGGTTATATTTTTATTTAGTCCTCATTGTTGATTATGTATATAATAAAGAGTGTTGCATATTATATACACGGGTTGAAAAATGTGTACCAGATATGTAAAAGTTTTACTCTATAAAATGTAATTTAGGGCTCTTATCTCTTTTTTTTTCACTTCTCTTAATATTGAATAAATAAAGATTAGCAGAGATGCACATTGCCTTTAAAATTGGTAAACTGTAATGCATCTGATGTGCTTATGTTAAATACAAACAGTAGACCCTCGTACAAGATGGTAGTTGCATTCCTGGAAATAGCGTCTTATACAAAACTGTTATGCAAATTGAAGAACATAAGAAAGAAATAGGGTTAAGTTTGTGGGGTTTACCCTGAAGTGCCTCAATTTTTTGCCTTGAATATCTTATTTTATCATAAATAATAAGGTTTTTTGGCACCTTATATTGTAGATGAAGTTGCTTGTTGGTCTAAATATATATGTTATATACTCAAATCTTTAATAAAAAGTTAGTTACTAAATTAATTTGCTTCATAAGGTCCCAGGTAAGGTAATGTTTGATGCTGGTGTTTGACACAGTATGCTATCTATCTCCAGAGAAAATAGACATGGTGCTCCTTCAAGAGAAAATAGAAAGCTGGTACGCTGCCAGTGACTATTATAAATTTAATACACAATCTTCTCAGTGTAAAATATGCAAGGAGGTAGCAAGGAAGAATATTACTCTACCTTAAATTCTTCGTTTCATTTACTTGTAGAAGTGTTTGGGGATGGTTATGAGCAGTAGATAGATGCGAGTCATCTGTTTTATATATGGCTTTGAGACATTTCTTCAGCTGATGCTACTCACACATTTCATCAGCTGTTGCTATTGCATATTCACTGTGCAATTTTCTCATTTGCAATAGTAATAAGGATGGATTTTATCTTTTAACCCTTTCACTGTTGGTCACATAGATCTACGTTATTGATGCTAGTGTTGGTCATGTAGATCTACATCTTGATCTTGGTGCCATCCAGTATGCTGTGAGCAGTAAATTTTGTCCTAGACACAAGATAATGTCTGTGTAGTGGGTGCATACAGTTTAAAAAAATCCTGCCCCACACAGTGCATGAAGAACAACTAACCTCTGATCTTGTGTTTGGTTTAAAATAGCAACTTTGAGGCATTTTCTAAGGTGTTTCTTCTTTTAATGGCTGTTTCTGAGTAACATTTGTAGAATGGAAGGAATACTAGTGAACTAGAGATGATTTTTGTTTGGTTTCAGGCTTGAAGTGGGTTGAAATAGGCTCCAGAGCGGCTGGAATATAAAATTTTTAGTGATTTTCCTGAGGAAGGGTAGGGCCCCAGACACCCCCCCTCTTCCTACCCCTGTCTGTTTTATAGGTTTTTACTAGGTCTGCTTCATTTATTTGGATGGCCTGAGCAATGACCAGTTATTCTTGGTAATATTTTGTTTTTTATTATTATTAACTCATCGGTCAATTCCCACCAAGGCAGGGTAGCCCAAAAAAGAAAAACTTTCATCATCGTTCACTCCATCACTGTCTTGCATAAGGGGTGCTTTACACTACAGTTTATAAAACTGCAACATTAACACCCCTCCTTCAAAGTGCAGACACTGTACTTCCCATCTCCAGGACTCAAGTCCGGCCTGCCGGTTTACCTGAATCCCTTCATAAATGTTACTTTGCTCACACTCCAACAGCACGTCAAGTATTAAAAACCATTTGTCTCCATTCAATCCTATCAAATACGCTCACGCATGCTTGCTGGAAGTCCAAGCCCCTCGCACACAAAACCTCCTTTACCCCCTCCCTCCAACCTTTCCTAGGTTGATTCCTACCCCACCTTCCCTCCACTACAGATTTATCCACTCGAAGTCATTCTGTTTCATTCCATTCTCTCTACATGTCTGAACCACCTCAACAACCCTTCCTCAGCCCTCTGGACAACAGTTTTGGCAATCCCGCACCTCCTACTAACTTCCAGACTACGAATTCTCTGCATTATATTCACACCGCACATTGCCCTCAGACATGACATCTCCACTGCCTCCAGCCTTCTCCTCACTGCAACATTCATCACCCATGCTTCACACCCATATAAGAGCATTGGTAAAACTATACTCTCATACATTTCCCTCTTTGCTTCCAAGGACAAAGTTCTTTATCTCCACAGATTCCCTTTTCCCCTCATCAATTTTATGATTCACCTCATCTTTAATAGACTCATCTGCTAACATGTCCACTCCCAAATATCTGAATACATTCACCTCCTCCATACTCTCTCCCTCCAATCTGATATCCAGTCTTTCATCACCTAATCTTTTTGTTATCCTCATAACCTTACTCTTTCCTATATTCACTTTTAATTTTCTTCTTTTACATACCCTACCAAATTCATCCACCAACCTCTGCAACTTCTCTTCAGAATCTCCCAAGAGCACAGTGTCATCAGCAAAAAGCAACTGTGACAACTCCCACTTTGTGTTTGATTCTTTATCTTTTAACTCCACACCTCTTGCCAAGACCCTCGCATTTACTTCTCTTACAACCCCATCTATAAATATATTGAACAACCACGGTGATATCACACATCCTTGTCTAAGGCCTACTTTTACTGGGAAATAATTTCCCTCTTTCCTACATACTCTAACTTGAGCCTCACTATCCTCGTAAAAGCTCTTCACTGCTTTCAGTAACCTACCTCCTATACCATACACCTGCAACATCTGCCACATTGCTCCCGTATCCACCCTGTCATACGCCTTTTCCAAATCCATAAATGCCACAAAAACCTCTTTAGCCTTATCTAAATACTGTTTACCTATATGTTTCACTGTAAACACTTGGTCTACACCCCCCCTACCTTTCCTAAACCCTCCTTGTTCATCTGCAATCCTACTCTCTGTCTTACTCTTAATTCTTTCAATAGTAACTCTACCATACACTTTACCAGGTATACTCAACAGACTTCTTCTTTACACATCTTTCAACAAACTGGCCATATCCCATCAAAGCAGGGTGGCCCAGAAAGAAAAACAAAAAGTTTCTCTTTTTAACTAGTAATGTATACAGGAGAAGGGGATACTAGCCCCTTACTCCCGACATTTTAGTCACCTCTTACGACACGCATGGCTTATGGAGGAAGAATTCTATTTCACTTTCCCATGGAGAACTTGACAGACTTCTCCCCTATAATTTTTGCACTCTCTTTTGTCCCCTTTGCCTCTATACATAGGAACTATGCATGCTCTCTGCCAGTCCCTAGGTATCTTATCCTCTTCCATACATTTATTAAATAATAGCACCAACCACTCCAAAACTATATTCCCACCTGCTTTTAACATTTCTATCTTTATCCCATTAATCCCAGCTGCCTTACCCTTTTTCATTCTACCCACTGCCTCATGAATTTCCCCCACACGCACAACTAGCTCTTCCTCACTCTAAAGGATGTTATTCCTCCTTGCCCTATACACGAAATCACGGCTTCCCTATCTTCATCAACATTTAACAATTCCTCAAAATATTCCCTCCATTTTCCCAGTACCTCTAACTCTCCATTTAATAACTCTCCTCTCCTATTCTTAACTGACAAATCCATTTGTTCCCTAGGCTTCCTCAGCTTGTTAATCTCACTCCAAAACTTTTTCTTATTTTCAACAAAATTTGTTGATAACATCTCACCCACTCTCTCATTTGCTCACTTTTTACATTGCTTCACCACTCTCTTAACCTCTCTTTTTCTCTCCTTATACTCTTCCCTCCTTGCATCACTTCTGCTTTGTAGAAGCCTCTCATATTCTAACTTTTTCTCCCTTACTATTCTCTTTACATCATCATCCCACCAATCGCTCCTCTTCCCTCCCGCACCCACTTTCCTGTAACCACAAACTTCTGCTGAACACTCTAACACTACATTTTTAAACCTACCTCATACATCTTCGACCCCATTGCCTATACGTGTACTCTCACTAACCCATCTATCCTCCATTAGTGGTTTATATCTTACCCTAACTGCCTCCTCTTTTAGTTTATAAACCTTCGCTTCTCTCTTACTTGATGCTTCTATTTTCCTTGTATCCCATCTACCTTTTACTTTCGCTGTAGCTACAACTAAAAAGTTATCTGATATATCTGTGGCCCCTCTATAAACATGTACATCCTGAAGTCTACTCTGCAGTCTTTTATCTACCAATACATAGTCCAACAAACTACTGTCATTATGCCCTACATCATATCTTGTATACTTATTTATACTCTTTTTCTTAAAATATGTATTACATATAACTAAACCCCTTTCTATACAAAATTCAATCAAAGGGCTCCCATTATCATTTACACCTGGCACCCCAAACTTACCTACCACACCCTCTCTAAATGTTTCTCCTACTTCAGCATTTAGGTCCCCTACCACAATTACTCTCTCACTTGGTTCAGAGGTTCCTATACATTCACTTAGCATCTCTCAAAATCTCTCTCACTCCTCTACACTATTCTCTTCTCCAGGTGCATACACACTTATTATAATCCACTTTTTGCATCTAACCCTTATTTTAATCCGCATCATCCTTGAATTTACACATTTATATTCCCTCTTCTCCTTCCATAACTGATCCTTCAACATTATTGCTACCCCTTCCTTAGCTCTAACTCTCTCAGATACTCCTGACTTAATTTATTTCTCCCTACTGAAACTCCCCTACCCTCTTCAGCTTTGTTTTGCTTTTCATTCATAACATCAGCAATCATCTCTTTCTTGTCATCTGCACTACATCCATGCACATTCAGGCAACCCAGTTTTATAAAGTTTTTCTTCTCTTTTTTTAGTAAATGTTTACAGGAGAAGGGGTTACTAGCCCATTGCTCCCGGCACTTTAGTCGCCTCATATGACACGCATGGCTTATGGAGGAAAGATTTTTTTCCACTTCCCCATGGACACTAGAGGAAATAAAGAAGAACAAGAGCTATTTAGAAAAAAAGAAGAAAAACCTAGATGTGTGTATGTATATATATGCATGTGTGTGCCTGTGTAGTGTGACCTAAGTGTAAGTAGAAGTAGCAAGATATACTTGTTATCCAGCGTGTTTCTTCTTTCTTTCAACACACTGGCCGTATCCCACCGAGGCAGGGTGGCCCAAAAGGAAAAACGAAAGTTTCTCCCATTACATTTAGTAATATATACAGGAGAAGGGGTTACTAGCCCCCTTGCTCCCGGCATTTTAGTCGCCTTTTACAACACGCTTGGCTTATGGAGAAAGAATTCTGTTCCACTTCCCCATGGAGGTAAGAGGAAATAAACAAGAACAAGAACTAGAAAGAAAATAGAAGAAAACCCAGAGGGGTGTGTGTGTATATATATGCTTGTACATGTATGTGTAGTGTGACCTAAGTGCAAGTAGTAGTAGCAAGACGTACCTGAAATCTTGCATGTTTATGAGACAGAAAAAAGACACCAGCAATCCTACCATCATGTAAAACAGTTACAGGTTTCTGTTTAACAGTCATTTGGCAGGATGGTAGTACTTCCCTGGTTGGTTGCTGTCTACCAACCTACTACCTAATATTTTGTTAGCCTAGAAATATGGTAAAGCAATTTTAGCAATGATGGATTCAAAATGGAGGGCAAGTGTTACATTGGAGAGGCCTGGGGATGTTATTAGTGGACAGAGGAAACGTTGCTGCTGGAATGCCTACGGTGTTTATTTTGGCGTCATTTCCTTCAGAAAAAGATTTATCATTTCAGAGGCTAACTTTATTATTTTTTAAAATTGAAACACTGTCAGCACTTTTAATTTTGAATGTTGTCAGTGAAAGGGTTGAATTCCCTGTTCTCTTTCTTGTTGGTAAAGAAATGTGTGAGAGACAGTTATGTGACTGCTGAGCAGTAGACGGCTGTGAGACATCTGTTTGCTTTATCGGCTGATGTTGTCACAAATTCCCTATACAGTTTTCTCTTGCTGGTTGATAAAGAAGTGTTTGGAGATGGTTATATGACTACTGTGCAGTAGATAGTTGTGAGAAATCTGTTTGTTTTATCAGCTGTGGTGTCTTGTACAAGTTGTATGATGTGCCAAACAAATTTATGCCATAAATTCTCTACCGTCTTATCACAAAAAAAGGTGCTATACAAATATGACTTGCATGTGGGTCTACTGTATTAACGTAGCATTCTTGTCAAATTTGAAAATAAGATGAATTATATTTCAAAATTTTATATTATTACAAACTGTTACATCTTTTAAGGTGAAGAATTCTGACAGGCAAATGAAGTATCTTTCATTAGCCACAATGAAAACGATCAAACAGATCAATGCCTTACTTTTCCATTTTTAGGGGTTTTATTGTAATGTTAGTGGCAGGGATGTCATTGATTTAGAAGGCCTACTAATAAAGATATATGTAATTTCTCACTATTACACAATTTTCTTGTTTAATTCTCAAACTAAATCAGTTTTGTTAAGGTCTATTATGTTTTTACTTTGGACAGTCTTGCAACTGTGAATATTGATCTCTATACATGCACATCATTATTGAACATACAATGTATTGAGATCAGGAAGATTTTACATTGTTAGTGCTGTGTTATTCTAATATTCCATTCACCTTATTACCCCATCTTTTTTATGTACCCTCAGCATTCCTTTTTTTCTTCATCATTCTTTCCTGGCATTTGTTCCAATTGACTATACCAGCTCAGCAACTTTTCTCTGTCTGTCTCGGATAGGATCTTCACCTCGAATCCTTAAATCTTCATTCCTGATTTTATAAAATCTCAAGGCACCAACTGTACTTAAGAGATTGATTTACATGAAAGGCTTATTGATATACCAAGTGCTGTAAGTACATAACAGTAGTGAATGGGTTAATTGAGTCATTTGAGTGAGGTTCAAAATCTGAAAACAAATTTGCTGAAGTTTTAACAATAAACCTGTTATGAGGCCTTGTTATGTATAGTACATTGCATCACCATCTTTTCAGAGAAATTGCTTCAGAAATGGAATATGAAGAAGTGTATTGTAAAAATATATGGCAAGCACTGGAATTAAAAGCACCTAAAATCCCTCACTTTTTTTTTTTTTTTTTCCAACAAGTCGGCCGTCTCCCACCGAGGCAGGGTGACCCAAAAAAGAAAGAAAATCCCCAAAAAGAAAATACTTTCATCATCATTCAACACTTTCACCACACTCACACATTATCACTGTTTTTGCAGAGGTGCTCAGAATACAATAGTTTAGAAGCATGCACATATAAAGATACACAACATATCCCTCCAAACTGCCAATATCCCAAACCCCTCCTTTAAAGTGCAGGCATTGTACTTCCCATCTCCAGGACTCAAGTCCAACTATATGAAAATAACCGGTTTCCCTGAATCCCTAAACTAAATATTACCCTGCTCACACTCCAACAGATCGTCAGGTCCCAAGTACCATTCGTCTCCATTCACTCCTATCTAACACGCTCATGCACGCTTGCTGGAAGTCCAAGCCCCTTGCCCACAAAACCTCCTTTACCCCCTCTCTCCAACCCTTTCGAGGACGACCTCTACCCCGCCTTCCTTCCCCTATAGATTTATATGCTTTCCATGTCATTCTACTTTGATCCATTCTCTCTAAATGACCAAACCACCTCAACAACCCCTCTTCTGCCCTCTGACTAATACTTTTATTAACTCCACACCTTTTCCTAATTTCCACACTCCGAATTTTCTGCATGATATTTACACCACACATTGCCCTTAAACAGGACATCTCCACTGCCTCCAACCGTCTCCTCGCTGCTGAATTTACCACCCAAGCTTCACACCCATATAAGAGTGTTGGTTCTACTATACTTTCATACATTCCCTTCTTTGCCTCCATAGATAACGTTTTTTGACTCCACATATACCTCAACGCACCACTCACCTTTTTTCCCTCATCAATTCTATGATTAACCTCATCCTTCATAAATCCATCCGCCGACACGTCAACTCCCAAGTATCTAAAAACATTCACTTCTTACATACTCCTCCTCCCCAATTTGATATCCAATTTTTCTTTATCTAAATCATTTTATACCCTTATCACCTTACTCTTTTCTGTGTTCACTTTCAACTTTCTACCTTTACACACATTCCCAAACTCATCCACTAACCTTTGCAATTTTTCTTTAGAATCTCCCATAAGCAAAGTATCATCAGCAAAAAGTAACTGTGTCAATTCCCATTTTGAATTTGATTCCCCAAAATTTAATCCCACCCCTCTTCCGAACACCTCACATAGGCATATAATAACACTGTCACAATTTAATCCTTATTCTCTAATATTGTGCTCTCTCTTTTCAATTAATGATCATTTATGAGTTTAGAATTTTTGTTTTGATGTATGTTAGTTTCTAGCCTGTGAAATTTTATTTGATGTATGTTAGTGTTTTCTTTACCCCCCTTGAAATTTTATGTACATTAAATTCCTCATCCAAGAAAATAGTTTATTTTTGTATGAGGGCACAATTTTTAAGATTAATATAAGATGTCAGTCATATCCTAGATATTGTATACCTATAATTATGTAGCTTCATAAATGAGAGTGCTATATAGCTTCAAACATGAAAACTGCTGTATTCAGTTACAGTACCTAGAAGGTGCCAGCTGGCAATAGTATATTAAATTTTATTTACAAAGCTGCTCCTCTTTTTATTGCATTTATGTAATTTTGTTTTATTTTAAGAATAATATTGACTTTTTAAAAATGCATTCTTTCTTTCAACACACTGGCCGTATCCCACCGAGGCGGGGTGGCCCAAAAATAAAAATAAAAGTTTCTCTTTTTAAATTTAGTAATTTATATGTGAGAAGGGGTTACTAGCCCCTTGCTCCCGGCATTTTAGTCGCCTCTTATTACAAAAAAAAGTATTTTTAAGATGGTAGGTTTACTCATTTTGTAATAAAGAGTTCGGGATACATAAATACAACATTAAAATCAATTAATCTTTAATATTATATAAAACAATCTTTGGTCTAGAGGTATTTAAAATATATATACATGTTACAATAATAAATTATTAGCATCTTAAAATAATATATATCTATGCTAAAATAATAAATTATAAATAACATTTGTATAATAAATTATGATCAACTCCGTGTCTCACACGACACTTATAATGACGCTCTGTGTCCCACACGACACTTATTCGAGTTGTGACACTCCTTCTCCACCGTGTCACTCGACACCCTTTTCGCCGTGTGATGACGCTCCTTCACAACCGTGTCCCTTGACACCCTTTTCTCTGTGTTACCAGACACTCCAGCTCTCCGTGTCACACGACACCCTTTTCTCTGCGTCATCCACTCCCTTTCTCGACTGTGCCACACTTGACACCCTTATCTCTGCGACACACACTCACTATCTGCGTAGCGTCTTTCGAGAGGCCAGTCACATGATACTATTCAATGTACACTACAACCAGGCCATCTTCATTGTCACACGACACCCTTTTCTTCTCAGTGTTCCACTACGGTCCTGTAGCATATCTGTGTTCCACTCCATCATACGTACTTGCTTAAGTGTCACACTACGGTCCTAGCCCAGTTCAGTGTAACACTCCAACCTTTTCTTCATGTAATGTCCCACTAAAACAGCATCAGTTGACTTAGCCCACAGTTGACCAGCGTAGGCGGTGAGTCTGCAGACATCACCAGTAGTCCTGTAAATACTCTCTAAGGCCGGTAGAAGTACACCGTAAGATGGTCTGGTGAGTACTATCTACCGCCTTCAAGACCAATTGACACACCGCAAGGTGGTCCGATAAATTACTAGCAGAACACCATGCTGCAAGCTCAGTGAGTGCGGCCATCAAGTAACTGAGGCCATCAGACTCAGTGAGCTGCAGTGAGCGGCTCTTCTAAAATCAGTAGAAGCCAGTAAAATACTCTCTACCGCCAGTAGATATGTACCATTAGGTGTTCTGGTAACTACTGCTTTGATGCGTACCGTGAGGTGTTCAGGTACTTACTGCTTCTAAAGCCAGTAGATGTGTACCATGAGGTGTTCAGGTACTTATTGCTTCTAAAGCCAGTAGATGTGTACCGTGAGGTGTTCAGGTACTTACTGCTTCCAAAGCCAGTAGATGTGTACCGTGAGGTGTTCAGGTACCTACTGCTTCTAAGGCCGGCTCAGCAGTCCCCACAATGGGTTTGATGACGTACCCAGTGGTACTGCCGGCTGGCAGATTAACCATTTAACCGCTAGTTTGGTAGGGGGCCGCAACACCTCTTACAACGCACATGGCTTACGAAGGAAGAATTCTGTTCCACTTCCCCATGGAGATAAGAGGAAATAAACAAGAACTAGAAAGAAAATAGAAGAAAACCCAGAGGGGTGTGTATATATATGCTTGTATATGTATGTGTAGTGTGACCTAAGTGTAAGTAGAAGTAACAAGACATACCTGAAATCTTGTATGTTTATGAGACAGATAAAAGACACCAGCAATCCTACCATCATATAAAACAATTACAGGCTTTCGTTTTACACTCACTTGGCAGGACGGTAGTACCTCCCTGGGTGGTTGCTGTTACCAACCTACTACCTAGGACTTTTTACAAATATTAATTATTAATGCTTTTAATCATTGATAGTTTCCCACCAAAGCAGGGTGATTCAGTTAAGGAAAACACTTCTTTCTTTCAACACACCGGCCGTATCCCACCGAGGCGAGGTGGCCCAAAAGGAAAAACGAAAGTTTCTCCTTTTACATTTAGTAATATATACAGGAGAAGAGGTTACTAGCCCCTTGCTCCCGGCATTTTAGTTGCCTCCTACAACACTCATGGCTTACGGAGGAAGAATTCTGTTCCACTTCCCCATGGAGGTAAGAGAAAATAAACAACAAGAACAAAAACTAGTAAGAAAATATTAGAAAACCCAGAGGGGTGTGTATATATATGCTTGTACATGTATGTGTAGTGTGACCTAAGTGTAAGTAGAAGTAGCAAGACTTACCTGAAATCTTGCATGTTTATGAGACAGAAAAATGGACACCAGCAATCCTACCATCATGTAAAACAATTACAGGCTTCCATTTTACACTCACTTGGCAGGACGGTAGTACCTCCCTGGGTGGTTGCTGTCTACCAACCTACTACCTAGGACTTTTTACAAATATTAATTATTAATGCTTTTAATCATTGATAGTTTCCCACCAAAGCAGGGTGATTCAGTTAAGGAAAACACACTTATGAACACTTATTCCCTAGTTGTCTTTCTAGAAGATCCACAGAACCACAACATATCTGTCTATCTTTCAAAATGTATGTCTTGTACTTTCCATGTTCAGAGCCAAAATTCTGCTAACCAGTCTTACTGAATCCCTTCATTTATAGTTGTATTACTTTGCTCACACTCAGCATGTCAAATCCCCCAGCATGTCTCCATTTCAATGTAACATTCTCTGTATACGTGCTGGATGTTCAAACCCATACATTTCACAGCCTCCTTCCAGTCCTTCCTGGGATGTCTTCAACATCCCTCTACCTCAGATTTATATACTCTCTTGGTCAACCTGTTTTGCTGTACCCTTTATTACAGACCGAACCATGTTAACAATCTTCTTTTTCTGCTCTCTGAATTATATTGCATATCACTACTCTTCTAATTAATTCACCCCTTATTATTTGCTTAATACACAAACCACTAATGCAATTGAAACATGACATATTCACTGCCTCCAACCTCATTGTAAGTGCAGTCAAAGACATGCCTTGTTGGTCCTATTGTACCTATTTTTAGAACTTTGGAGTTGCCTATTGTATCTGTTCTTAAAACTTTGTTTGGAACCTGCATCCACCACTTCTTCATTGAGGTTTTCCACTTCCTAACTACCCTGAGACTAAAGAAATACTTCTTGACATCCTGTGGCTCATCCATGTCCTTAGCTTCCAGCTGTGGCTCCCCAAAGTACCTTTTTCCCCACCTCTCAAGCAGCCTGTCCCTGTCTACCCCATCAGTTCCTCTTAAGTATTTTGTATGCTTTCACATCTTCCTTGGTACTTTTCTCTTCCTCGTAGCTCATACCTCTTAGCCCTGGAACTAGTCTTGTTGAATACCTTCACACTTTCTTCAGTTTCTTAGCATGGTTCCTCAGGTGTGGGTTCCAAGCTAGTGCTGCATACTCCGAGATGGGTCTGACATATGTTGTATAAATCACCTGGATTTACTCTTTGTTGAGATTCCTGAAGGCCATTCTCAGATTTGCCAGGCAAGGATTGGCTGCAGAGGTTATTTGGTTAATGTGAGCCTCTGGCTATTCAGTACTGTGATACCTTACCATTTTTGAATCCATAGATAAACTTTTCTTTTCCATAGACTTTCCAAGTTACTAATCTTATACTTACAGTATATAAAATCGTCTTCTTTCAATAAACCGGCTGTATCCTACCATGGCAGGGTGGCCCAAAAAGAAAAACAAAAGTTTTTCTTTTTAACTTGAGTAACGTATACAGGAGAAGGGGTTACTAGCCTCTTGCTTCCTGCGTTTTAGTTGCCTCTTACTACACGCATTGTTTACGGAGGAAGAATTCTGTTCCACTTCCCCATGGAGATAAGAGGAAATAAACAAGAACAAGAACTAGAAAGAAAATCGAAGAAAACCCAGAGGGGTATGTATATATACGCTTGTACATGTACGTGTAGTGTGGCCTGAGTGTAAGTAGAAGTAGCAAGACATACCTGAAATTTTGCATGTTCATGAGACAGAAAAAAGGACACCAGCAATCCTACCATCATGTAAAACAATTACAGGTTTTCGTTTTACACTCGGCAGGACGGTAGCAGCACCTCCCTGGGTGGTTGCTGTCTATCAACCTACTACCTAGGGATATATATTATATATATATATAAAATATATATATATATATATATATATATATTATATATATATAATTATATATATATATATAAAAATATATTATATATATATATATATATATATATATATATATATATTATATAATATATAATATATATATACATAAATATATATAATATGTGGACCCCCGGTTAACGATATTTTTTCACTCAGAAGTATGTTCAGGTGCCAGTACTGACCGAATTTGTTCCCATAAGAAATATTGTGAAGTAGATTAGTCCATTTCAGACCCCCAAACGTACACATACAAACGCACTTACATAAATACACTTACATAATTTGGGCACATTCGGAGGTAATCGTTATGCGGGGGTCCACTGTATATATATATATATATTATATTATATAATATATATTATATATATATATATATAATATATATATATATATATTTATAAACAAACACTGATCTCTGGCTGAAGGAGACTCGAACCTATGAACCTTAGGACAAGGTACGCAGTGCTTTACCAATCTACCCACACTGGACCAATACCTTGGCGTGTAGCATCCTCTACACGTTTGATCCAAGGCAGCCAGCTTTCAGGGAGAAGGCTTACAGCTTTTCATCTCATCCCCTGCATGTACCAGCCTTACTAGAGATTTGAACAATGCAAGGAATTCGCGAGAGCATGCGAAATATACACAAACACTGATCTCTGGCTGAAGGAGACTCGAACCTACGAACCTTAGGACAAGGTACGCAGTGCTTTACCAATCTACCCACACTGGACCAATACCTTGGCATGTAGCATCCG